CTTTTGAGTGGATTATAGAAGGAGTGGTTCTGTATACTGTTATGAGTTTTGCAGTTGGGAAGCTTCCATTTATTGCACCTTTCAGTCGTTTGTCAATCTTTTGTGACACTGCATCTCCTTTGAATGGGAGACAAATAAACACTTTTTTCTTTTCTACAGTTGGATGCTTTTCCTTCTTATCGTTTTCTCTGCTATACTTCTGTATAAATCCCTTAGGGTATCTATTTTCCCTTAGGCATTTCTCGACGAAATCTAATTCTTCTTCGACCTTGTTTGGTGAACATAGCTTCCTGGCTCTGTCGTACAAAGTCCTCACTAATCCACGTTTATAGCTTATGGGACAAAAGCTGTTATAGTGAAGATAGTGTCCAGTCCTGGTTTCTTTTCTATAGATGGACTTTTCGATCATGCCTTGGTCTGTTCTTTTTATATTTAGATCCAGAAAATTGAACTCATTTTTATGTTCACATTCCATGGTGAATTTGATATTTGGATGGATTTCATTTAGGCTATTATATAATGGCGATCCGTGATCCATGTCGTTGCAAACAACAAATGTGTCATCAACATATCGCCGATAGTAGGTTGTTCCATTGATAGCAGAACTAAGTTGAGTCTGTTCAAGGTAGCCCATGAAGATATCAGCCAGGATAGGTCCTAGAGACGAACCCATCAATTTGTCGGTAAAGTTGATTGTTGAATTTGAATTGTATATCTTTTGTGCAGAGCAGCAGTAGTCTCTTCATCTCTGTTTCCGGTAATGCTAGTAGATCCGTTTGTTTACAGATGATATCAATCGTTTCCATAAGTGGTACGTTTGTAAACAAGGAGGTCACGTCATATGATACCATTAGTTTGTCTGATATGTCAATATTGTCAACTTCCTTGGAAAATTGATAACTATCCTTCAGGCTATGGGTTGCATATTTGGTTCAAATTGACTCTATAGAATCAGATAACCATTGAGCTAGCTTGTGGCATAGTGAGTCAATCATTGACAAGATTAGCCCTAAAGGCACATTTGCTTTATGGATTTTTGGTAGACCGTACATAGACGTCAGGTGTCCACCTTTTGACTTCAGTTTATTGTATGTTTCGCTGTTGATTAGTTTCTTCATTCGAAGTTCTTTGAGACATTTATTTATTTTGCTTCCAAACGACGTTGTGGCATCTTTTTTGTTGTCAACTTGGAATTTTTCTTTGTCGTTTAGAATTGTCATCATTTTATGTATATGATCAGCTTTGTTCATTATAACAATCCCAGAGCCTTTATCAGGTCTAAATATGACGATTTCATTGTTCTCATATAGTTTTCTCAGGGCTGTTCTATGCTCTTCGGTCAGGGTGCACAACATCAGAAACAATAGATTGTAATTGTTTCTGATGTTGTATACAAAGTGGACATGAATGAATTCGACTTGTATGACATTCAAAATAATGTTGGCATAAATTTTCAAACGCCTTAAAGCCTTTTTTGTTACCAACACGTTGATGACAATAACAACATTGAAAAATTTCTCTCAAATTAAAATGATAGCATACAAAACGAAGATGTATACGTAAGCATAATTCGGAACAATCAGGCGATAAATATGCTGGAGGCTTGAGGAAAATCGAAAGAAGAGGAGAAAATCTTCTCTTTTCTTTTAAGTACACAAAGTTAAATCAATTTATGTTAATATATACATACAGATATATCGTCTGTTTCTCCACCTATCTCTCACAGAGTATTATTGCATAACGATGACATTAGCTGGTGCCTGACTGTCGCGCCAAAATCAAGAATTCGTGGAAGTTAGAATTCATGGGTTGGCCATTATTGAGACACAAACTAACTAACTAGACTGACGAAACAACTGGCTGTCCGGTACCAGTACTCCTTGGTGGTTTCCAAAAGTTCACTCACCCTTACTCTCTCTCTCTCTCTCTCACTTTGTCTCTGACTGAAATCAATCCATGGGCGAACTTTGAAAACAAGCGAAATCCATACAAACCAACTCTTGCAAAAAGACATAACAATATATCCCATTGTATACAAATTATATATTTTAGTACAATTCTCATTGAACTTTGATCAAAACAAGGCAATGTGTAATAGGGAGAAGTGGTTTGTACTCAGACATGACACATGTTTTTGGTTAGATCGGGTTGAAGTCAACAGCAGGGATAATCTCACTCACAGAAGATATGGACTTCGTCAGGTAATATCTTTTTATGACTATCTATCTTCATTCATGCAACGCCATTGGCCACACACATGCGTGCATATATCATTGTTTTCCTTGGCACGCGCTTGCGCTTAAACTTATACAGATACCGATACAGTTCAATACATATATGCAGATGTGGCACATTGGCTTAAGCACTCAACTTACAGTTAATCAGCCCCCAGGTTCGAGTCCTGCGCCCCACCTACTTCAGTCTGGACAACTAACTGGGTAATACCACTAGCCCCTACACAATGAGAATGGCTTATAGCCTAGTACTACTGGGTAGTTGAGATATAACTACTACAACCACTACTGTAGAAGATATACTCTCCACATCTCATATCGTTGTGTTCTGGCTTAAGTAAAACAGGCTGGAGGGAAACAGATAACTGTCGTATAGAGTGTTGTTAGCGTAATCAAGCTGTATTCAGGGTCAGCGCCTGGTCGAGACAAATTACCGCGGGCTCTTTTTAAAGATGGTTGGGAGACTCTCACAATGGCTCTAACTGGGTGGTTCAGGAAGGTGTGGGAGACAGAGCGTGTACCATCAATGTGGAACGAAGGCATTATTGTCCTCATCTTTAAAAAGAGTCGACGTAAGTCGTGTGGCAATCACAGGGTATCAGCTTGAAGTTGTTGATAAGTTTTTGTGTCTGGGTAGTTGTGTGAGTGCTGGCGGAGGGGTGACGGGTGAGATTTTTGACCGTATATTGAAGGCTCAGGTGGCATACATCAACTTGAGCCACCTATGGCACCGTCGCGACGTTAGGCTGTACGTGAAAGGTCGGGTATACAATGCTTCGCTGCTCTACGCCTGTGAAACCTGGCCTCTCCGAGCTGAGGATGTGCGGCAACTCTGCGTGTTCGATAACCACTGTCTCCGCAGGATTGCTTGCGTTCGATGGCATCATCGCGTGAGTAATTCTGAGGTTCGGCGGCGTGTGTTGGAACGCAGTGGAGTTCACCATTCATTGAGTGTCGTCATCTGGAAACACCGGCTCCAGTGGCTTGGACATGTGCTTCGAATGTCACCCCAGAGGCTCCCGTACAGGTCTCTGTTCGCTAGCCCTGGGACGGGATGGAAAAGGTGGAGAGGTGGTCAGTCCATGACGTGGCGTCGTGGGATGAAGGATTTTTGTGCTGGATTAGCATCGGTTGGTGTGTCACGACTCCCTGGTTGGGGTCCGAGAGATAGCTCAAATCGATGGCTCGAAACGTTATCGAATACGGCCAAGAATCGTAATCAATGGCGAATGTGTTGCAATTTCCTTCTTTCTTCCCTTCCCGATGATAGTTAACGAACACTGTTTGAACTTGTTAGGCATGAGTGTTTCCCTTCCAGATGAAGTTCTTTATCCGTTCTCTACTTATATATATTTTTTCTTTTCCTTCCTTCTTTTTTTCCTTTTAGATATATGTTGTTTTATTATAATTGTGTGGCGCATCCTTCTTGGTGCCATACTGTACCAAGTTTTTTATGCGTTTAAATAAATAATAAATAATCGTCAGTTGACAATCGTATTCATATTTGGCGACGCGATAAAACACAGGATCCAGCTAAATCAGTCCATGAATGCATTTCTAAAACATCATTATCGAGTGACTTATGTATCCTCCTATTTACGCGTCTATATGACAAAATTCAACACTGTACATGAAATGGTTCCACAGAAATATGTCACTTCGCAGATTTCTGGCCCTATTGAAAATGTTTCGTAGCCAGTCTCACATTCAAACACAGTAGTGAATAAGTGATATGGTGATCAATGTTCAGTCTGGAAATAAACCTATCAGTTGTCGTATAGGCAGGTGAGTGGATAGGCAGATAGTCAACGGATTGATCCTTTCTCATGCCTACGTTACTGGCTCATGTGTACATTTTGTGTCTCTTCATTACCCTACATATTTCATTAATTCCTTTTGTAAACACACTTCTGCGTCTCACCTCTTGTGTGTTCTCGTGTAAGTAGCGGCTTGGAAATCTGGTAGCTGTGGTGTACGCCGTTGGCGTGGACAAGCGATATTCGTGGTCAACGTGTTTACCAATAGCTCGGCGTCCCTATCCGAACCAACGTTTCTTAATATATAAAAGGTAAGAAGTCATGGGCCATTGAATCGGGTCTCAGTGATTGAATGGTATACAAGATTCCTTGTAACCAGAAGGTAGGGGGAGGGGGTTCGAAACCCTGTGGGTGCGTGCTGCCAATTCCCAAACTGACGACTGGTTTCCACGTGGAACTCAGCACAGATGTGCAGCAGCTCGAGTTGCGGATTATCACTTAGTGTATTTGTTCATATGAAAACTTTCTTCCTAAATCCTGAATTCGATTTCTTCTGTATAACTAACTGCCATAGTAACCTACGAAAAATGTGATTAGCCCACTGCAACCATTCACTTGGATCACTCGATTTTCATAGTTTCGCCATTTCTTAATTCTGAGCGTCGGTGGAACACCAGTAGAATGCTCGTCATCCACGAATGTGGCTTCGGGTTCAATTCGCGGCCACCGAAGACGCACTCCTTTACCTCTCTAAGCCAGTAATAACACTGGTAAAGAAGAAAGGTACGGGATTGGGGGCATGAGGCTGGCTAGCAACCCTGTCTCGTAAAAATAAACACCATTGCTACAGAAACTTCAAGCTCCGAGCCCTATTTTCCACTAGGAACGTAAAGGAGTGGAAAACAATTTCTTAATTAGTCATGATTGATTCCAGCACTTACACACATACCTTCGATTTCTACGAGGGTGGAACACAAAAAAAAAGCAACAACAATAAACTATAACTCACCGTAAATCCACACTGAGGACACATTATATGACATCCCAAGTGTAACAGTATATGAGCCTTAATCAAACATAAATTTGGTTGTTCTATACTTAATAGCTGACCACATAGGCCACATTTTGTATTGACTACAGTTCGACCACTACCCACAAGATGCATTTTAAGCCTTTGTTTATCATTTGTTTTAAATTTGCATAAGAGACAACGTAACACACCGAATGGTTGTTGTTGTTGTTGCGATAATGATGATGATGGAGTTGAAGACTGTGGTGAACGATACGAAGACAGTATCGCGTTTAAAGCCAAATTCAGATGAGCATTGGATGGAGCGGATGGAGGTAGACAGGTGTCGCTAACTTCTATGACAGAGAAAAATTAGACAAGGGAGGAAAGCAAGAAAAAAGAGACAAGCTTATTGGAGTTATATTTTCATTGGACACTACTAGGCATTTAACTAATGTTATACGTTTATTCCATTCTTTTTCAGGGTGCAGATTGAATTCTATCAGTCAAGTGTGCAATGTGGCCATCATCATGGCTAGATGTGTAACTCTGAATTCTTATTAGATGGTTGTGGATGCAATCGGTGAGAAACTCTGGACCTAGAAATCCGTTACACACTTATCGTGTGTGACAGGGTTGTTGATAACCGTGGAACAGGAGTCGAACCTGGCACCCAATTGGTTGGAAGTCAATTGCTTAAGTTAGTCAACTACATCCTCCTCACTGGTATATCTTCTAAGACTACACATTTAATCACGGACGTTCCACCATCAGGTTAGTCAATTCTTTTCAAAGGAAAAACAGTGGAACGCCCACAATTATTTTATTCACTCACTTTTCTTGAAGTCGAATTAAGTAGCGAATTGGGTAGTGAGTTTTCTAAACGAATATTTGCCTCATTTTCACATTGAATCGCGGATGACGGTAACTGAAAATAACAACAATAGGAATAATTGCAAATATAATATTGATATCAGTAGTACACTTATAAACGAAAACTGTTGCGTCTGAAGACGCATTTTACTCAAGTTAGACGGATTTTTGTCAATAAAAAAGCTTCCGCGACGGCGTTATTCAGTTTAGTGGAAACAATCACAAATTCTAGTACAATTAATTCAGTTATATATCCAGTCATGTCAATTTTACAAGTGTTTAAACACCACCTACCTACCTACCTCGAATTTCACAAAATTCAGTTACTTCAACAACAGCGCCAAAAACACTATGAAACCCTGCAACAAGCTAAACTCTCATCCAAATCCTCACTAAGGGATAATCTTTCCAATCATCTAGTCATCCTTTCCCCATCCTATCCCATCTCCATACTCAAACTGTTCATCCTCTTCTCGGGTCAGTCAGTCAGTCAGTCACAGAAGTACACAACCATTTATCACTAATTGAGGGATTATTTGAACAGTTCGCCTTCAGATAAAACCATGCAAATTGAAACTAAAAATCAAACAGAGGACAGAGAATCTGGATTCCCATAATGCATTGAATTCTATCTGTGAAGAGATACAATTTGTGTAAAATCAGGAAATATGATCAGTCAAAGTGCAGGCAATTCCACTTTAATTTCGCCTGTCTTTACGGAATGCGAAGAATCCTCTGTCTCTCTCTCTACATACATACCAGGCGCTCCTATCCTATTTGACAAGAAGAGTTTCACGACGTCGTTTTTCTCCATCAGTTACAGCCCAAAGAATGAGAGAAGTCTACCCTTCCTGCCTTGAATGATGATAGTATTGAAGTTGATGATGTAGCCTACTGGACAAGTGTGTTGGAGCAATTATTGAGATGGTTACATTGCCCTCCAGTTACAAACCGATGGTCCCATACCATTTCATCGAGGAGGTAACATAGACGGAGAGTACACATACCTGCACAGTATAATATCCAGTGGTCCTCCAATCGAGAACTCCCTGAAGAAGAGAAATGTTGGACGGACCAGCTTCTTTGTTAGTCATGATTTACCCATATATCAAGACATGAAGATACAACCTCATCAATCTGAAACCAATTCGAAGATCTTCTGCACTCAATCAGAAGCATAAACAACAAGATTCGAATTCTACCCAACACAAATCTGAAGTCACTCAGTCAATTCTTCTATGTGAATCAGAAACTTGCACTGCGCGTGAGTAGTCACGAAAAGGATTTCCAACAGCCTGTTTCACACTTTCATCAACAACTGACCACCTCGCTGGCTGACTCCATATAAAGATCAAATGGCCAGGAAGAATTAGAAACAAGAAATTATGGCTGGGAACAAACCAACGAAGAGCCACTCGCTCAACAAATATGCAGGAGAAAATGGAGATGGATTGGGCATAAATAAGTTGAGGAGACAGTCAAATAACGTCGCGCGCAATGCAGGCCATTCCTCAAGTGGCACTCGAATGGGTTGTCATTGCTAGGGTGACATGGAGGAGATCGTGTGAGTAAGAGGAGGAGATGAGAGATTGTGGGCAATCATGGTCCAAGCTGAAGAGGACGGCAGAAGATAGGACAAAGTGGAGATGTATTGTTCAAGCCGTATGTTCCACTCGGAACCCAAGGGAATAAATAATTACAGCAGATCTCTGATTAATATCAGCGGAGATTTCATCACAATAATCCGCATCACTTAACGAATCACTGGGAATCAAGGTTGATAATTTTCAAACTATATACCTATTGTAGTTAAAGATACAATGTGGTAGTTAGGAACTATTCATCAGTTCATCATCGGTCACTGTCTGGCCACAGAAGAGAGTAAAGAACCGACTAGTGATGACTTGGCTGAAAACATTGACTACTCATATCAATAAATCGATCAATATAAACCATGAAAAACCTACCTGTAAAGACAAACTGTCTTCAGCTGTAGCCGTTTGATAAATTTGTCTCAAGACTGAAGAAACACTTTTAAAAGTGCGATTTATACCAGGAAATCTTAAATCTCCCGATGAGTTTCGAGTGACACGACCCCATAGGACATTTTCATCCATAGGAGGAGGAGGATTCAAAATTTGTTCATTAATCCTGTTGGCGGCTGAAGAGATTGACAACTGTTTAAAATATAAATAAATATGAATTTTTGAGATGCACAAATATGGAAAGATATTCAGTGGTTTAATAATAACACAGAAAGGATTCTATACTACTTTCCTTAACCAGCTGGATATATCTGCTTATCAATAAGCGATGTTCTCACTTAGACCAGAATCCACTGCTGAGTTGTGGATGATAACACTCCTGAATGCAAACCAATTTGCAAAGGCATTGGCGATCCAATACACAGTCACCACTGATCCTCAGCTCGGAGGATATATTTTACAGATGTAGGGCAAGGCTGTGCGCACCGAAGCATTGTAAACCCGACAAGTGATGGTTACTAAAACAACCATCTACATGCACGTACTTATCGGTTACTCCTAACAGTTCACCTGTAAGGGTGAAGCCAGGTACAGGTTCCCCCCAGTGTTATAACAATCAGTCGCATTTAGACGGAGAAAAGTACATAACATACTTATTATAAGTATTGACCACCAATTGATTAAGTACGATTTGCACAGCCTGCAGCATGTTACTGCACAGTAAGACGATGTCGTTTGCAAACTCGAATTCGAAGTATTTTCGGTTAGCAGATCCACACAACCACCATCACGCACATCCTCCAGAGCCGACTCCAGAATGTGACTGATGACAAATTTAAACAGAAGTGGGGATATCGGGTAACCCTGTTTATCCCCACTAGTAGTTGAGACCACTGATGGAATAATAATCATTGGAAAACCAAATGTAAAATGATCCATAGGTCTGGGTGATTGGATTTCAACTAGCGAAGTGTATATTAGAACTACGGTATTTTTTCTTAAATGGGACATCGAACAATCCCTTAGAATCAGCACATGTACACGCTGGTGTGACTCATTGTTAGGTGCATAAATTCACACTGAGTTGCAGCAATGCAACCTTTTCAAGAATTAATAAGTAATAAAACTGGTAAGTGACCACTGTAGGATTTAATTCGCCTACAGATATATTCGTCCTCAAAGTCATATACTAAGGACACAGAATTTAAACCTTACTGTAATTTTTACAACACAGGTAACCTGCCTTGAAACGTTATCGGTTACCGAAATACAAAGATACCTAGTTACATGATAAAAATATGTAACCAACAGTTGTCTTTCATCAACAGAGACACAAAAATAACGAACATTATTGACGTGTAAAACAAATCTTTAGTCTGTTATATCCACGTGTAGATAAGACGATGAAAATAACAGTTTAAATGCACAAGATATTTGTAAATTGAAATTACAATTCTGATAATCATTCTCGACACTTACTCTGTTCGGATCGACTGTAGATACAACTGGATTTCGTATATTACTTCCTAAATGTTGGGAACAAGTGTTTACCATTGGTGGCTGTGAATTCAGCAATACACTGGTTGCTGGTTGGGTGCATCCTTTTGACAGTGGTGTGGGACGGGGAACTAACGTACATCTATTACGAACAGCTGAATGAACTGGACGATGATTAAATGCATCGGAAGTCCTAGGTCCAGAAGATTGCGTTGTTGGACGAAGAATGACACCAGATGAAGAACCAGAGAGAGTGTCATTACGAAATGGTAACGAATTAACACACTCACCACCTGTCGCCAAATGTAGACGTGTGTCTGCGGAAGCTGTATTGTGAACCACGTTACTTGATGAACACTGATCCTGACGTAAAATAAAAAGTAAGAATTGTAGATTAATGATGGCTTTAAAAGAACTTCAGTCATGATATGCAACAAACAATCCGAGCCTATAAATATGTATGAACTACTGTGGATACCTTAATTAGTCGTAAGAGAGCTAAGATGGATGGGTGATATGGGGAGTGGTACTCATGAAATAACGCTGACTATTCTTGGTTACTATTATGTACTAGCTGACCTACGTGTGAATATATTTGTTCGCTGTTTTGCTCACTGTTTATTCTTTATCTGTAATTACAGTGGCCATACAAGTTCGTGGACGTTGGTGGCACAGCGGTAAAATGCTCGCCATCCACACATGTGATGCAGAATTAGATCCCCCAGCCCACGCACTCTTTTATCTCTCGAAGCCAGTAATAAAAGCTGGTAAACAGGGAAGGTTGGGCATGAGGCTGGCTAGCAGATCCATCCCGTAAAAATAAACGTCACTGCTACCGAAACTTCAAGCCTCTAGTCTGAAGCCTCTTGCCCCACTGGGAACGTAAAGGAATAAAATTTAAATTAAATAAAATACAAGTCCATACAATTTATTATCAAGCAATACTTTGAGAAAAGCATGTAAAAAATTATGCTCAAACTTGAATCCTAATAACTGACGGGAAAACACTAGTTACTTGTGAAGAAAAGTCAGGGTTCAAAAACAACTCAAAGCACTCAAATATACACTGCAGACGAGGTATTCTACCTACTGTTGTTAAAGTATTGCAATTGGGAAATATAGGTACACATGACATGAGGTAGGTGATCACCGTTATGCTTGAAGTGTCACATTGATAACAACTACAAGTCGTCAACTGAAATGATTAAATCACTACAGTTTGGATGACCACATCATACCTTGCATGGGCTCAATTAATAACTGCCACTAGGACAATGTTAACCAAGAAAGCTTGCTCTCAAAGAGATTTTATGGTACGCAGCTGTTGTTAGCTCTCAATCCTGTTCTAAATTATGCATGGAAAAGTAGGCGACAGACCCGGTAATCAGACTCAAACCTACTTGCTCCATCCTTGAGATTATTTTATTAGGAATACACTTACTGTGATACAGGTTATAATATTTATGTATTCTACGATTTCATACCTTACACTTACCATTTTGTTGCTTTTATATGTGAGTATACACTGTAAGAGATGATTTCAAGCCACATCACAAACTGACATCAGTCAAAGAAACAACACCAGGAAGTACTGGACAGCTCTTTTGTTCTAATTTTAAACTCTACAACAGCACACACTACCCCATCAGGGACTGAACTCTGGGCCTTCAATTTGTGAAGCGAGTCCATTCACCAGTAAGTCACTGGGACAGAATCCTATGGATCATGAATTCTGTCCATTCGTGACATATAGAGCTACCATCCACCAGTCTTGTCAGCGAGCTTCGCCCCTGAATCCAACCTGATGGACCTCATTGGTCACGACATTTCACCAAAACACCAGGTAACTCCATCCTGTAGCCAGTCAGTAGTGAGCTGTCCAGTAACCCCCTGGTCCTCTAACTGGTGGTAGTCAGTAATATAACTTAGAATCAGTCAAACTCTTGCAAAATAAAATCAGATGGTTTGTTATGAATTTTCGCACAAATGAGTTAAGAGTTTAACCAATTAAAATGAATCTAAATAAGCGGATAAAAATGTATCCGTTGTTTCCAGCACCAGTAACATTCAAATGACTTTCGGATAAACCCAAACTGGGTAAAAACTGGCATCATCTCAAGAACACTCTTGTAATGCATTAAAACTGAAGTGATAATAAAGACACTATATAACTACTGATCTAACTCTTTATTAAGAAGTCATAGCATGAATTTAATAGACGAAATAGCACTAAAAGACATGGAAAAGCACTTACATCATGTGGTGTACGTTGACGAATTGCACTGGGTACGATGAGAGGAGTGGAATCATTGACATTGGTTACAGCAGGTACAGAACTTCCTACAACAAGTCCATTAGACTCGTTTAGATGCCCACTAAGCCTCCCAGAAATCGGTTGCTGACAAAATCTTGACCAAGTGTAGAAAGTATTCCCCGGGAGGGTTATATGTTCAGATGAACTAAAGTAAGGTGGTGGATAGGTGGCGCTTAGGGACCTTGTAAATCGAGTTCGACTATTAGATTGAGTAGGCTCAGAAATTTCCGTAACCTACAAAGATAAAGCTTATGTACAATTGTGGATATTTCGTACACGAGATACACAAAAATTATGTGGAATTAATATAAAATATAACATAGTATCCACTCCAAAACGACTTGAGAACAAATTGTACCTTCGAGGTAAAGAATAATGGTGAAACTCATATTGAATAAATGAATGGCAAACCACACTAAAAGTCTGTTCAAGATTCTATAATCGATTCTCTATTCTTTAACACTGCACCAACATCAGTATCACTACTATCATATAACAAGGTTCCGTTTAGGTAGCTTTATGCAATAAAGGAGTCTTCAGAGACTCACTGTTGTGGTGCTGAACAAGAACACTTTCGCAGATCGCTCAGTGATAAACGTAGATATTAGCCTCCCAATGGATGTTCTGCCTGATTCCTGATGACACAACCCACTTCTCCTGCTACAAAATGAATTGTAAACATATGTTCAGTCGGATACCCAGTGTCATGATTGAACTGAGATGCTTACAAACATGTGTCACAACAGCGAACAAGTGACTGGATGTGTTAGTTTCAAGATTCATGTCTATAAATGTCATATAAACATCACAAAATTAGTTTCCCTGCAAAATTAAACCCACCATTCTTTGTCTCTAAAGACAATTCTAATACTACATGCTACTTATATGCAAACAACGAACTTAATCCCTATCGTCTTCCCTGAAACTACATTAATTATACGCAGTCAACTGTTTCGCTGAACTGTGCAATCTGTCTGGATTCAACATAGAACTCGGCACCGAAGTGCAGCAGCTCGAGTTGCCACGTTCCAAATAGCACACAGGTAGACAAGAAGATGAATGAAGAGAATCAATACAATCTGACAAGTAGAAGAGTGAAACAGAATGGGTAATGGTGGAAAGGAATATGAAAGATTACAGAGACTGAATACATCTGCGCTGGCCATTGACAACGATTTTGAGCCATGTCACCTATTGTCTCCAGCCATTGATTCCTAGAGTCAGTCCCGAGGGCCGCAACCCGGATGTCTGCCTCTCCCTACCTGACTCAGTCTAACTGTCAAGGATTTCATGGATTGATGACATGTTTTTGTTTGGCGACCCACCACTTACTCTTTTCCAACCTGCACCTATATCAGCTAGTAATGCCCGTCGGGGGAGGCGATGGTTAGACATGCGCAGCCCGTGACCTAGCCATCTCAGTCTATGTAACTTTATAGCCTCGTCGATTGATTTTCCCTCTTTGCCCAACACTCTACACCTAACGTCAACATTACTTACCTTATTAAACCACCTAACGTGAGACAGAGATCGCGACCGAAAGCTGCTACCTTGACGTGGTGGTCGGGCTTGAACACCGCAATGACCTAATCAAGCTATACTGGCTGAGACTTATGTCTCTTGAGGTTCTACCATGCCAGGCAGGTTGTTTGGATAGCGGTTAAACAAAAAGCAGCTACCCAATCCAACATCATGTCCAATACAAAATTACAAAATTTCATGCCGGATCGGCCGTGGCCCGGATTAACAACGACCGCGCTTCCTGCTGCCGTGTCACAGGGCGGGAGTGATAAATCTGCTACTGAGACACACCAAACAAAAAAGAACAAACAAAAACAGGCCGCGTGTGACCGGCCTCAAGCAGTTGTCCCCTGGGCTCTGCGGTCACGCAACCAACTTCCACGGTGTGGGCAGCCGGGAAGTAACAATCGCCCTCACAATCCGAAATGCACACGAAACCTCTCTATTACTCACTCATCTTTGTCTTCATCTTCATCTCTATCATCTTGCCTTCCTTCCACTGATGCAACTCCTCGACTTGATAGCTCTCCACTTCCTCTCCACTCTGCGTCCACTAAAAACGATGGAAGCCAAAAAACCACCACCGACAGCCTCTTAAAGCCGCGCCACCAATTTCATATAGGAGCTCTTAATGTTAGGACACTTTGCCAAATAGGACAACAAGCATCACTAGCCAAGACCCTGGCATCCCGAGCCATTGATGTATGCTGTGTTTCAGAAACACGCATACAAGACCCAAGTGTGGTTATTCACCTAACCCCACCTGGCCAACAGGTTGAATCTGCAAAATTCACCCTGAGGGTGTCAGGAGATGCCACAGCTAGTTCACGAGGATTAGCTGGCGTAGGGATAGCTTTGAGTACTAGGGCAGAAAAGACATTGCTTGACTGGATCCCGGTAGATAGCCGAATGTGTGCTGTCCGCCTGAACGGATCAGTAAGAAGGAGGAAGGACTGCACTACTCGCCGATGCCTTTTCGTAATCTCCGCCTACGCCCCCACTGACTGCAGTTCAGATGAAACGAAGGAAGAGTTCTACCAAAAGCTGTCTAGTTTGGTGGAAAGGCTAAACGCTCAGACATAGTCGTTCTAGCTGGTGACTTTAACGCTCAAGTAGGGAAATTGTGTCAATCTGAGAAGGATGTCGGTGGCACCTATGGAGTTCCGTGCCAGCGAACCGACAACGGTGACCGTCTCCTACAGTTCTGTTCTGATAATCATTTGTTTCTTGCAAGCAATAACTTCAAACACAAGGAGAGACACTGTTTGACTTGGAGACCCCCTTCGTCAAACCAACGCTGGACACAAATAGACCACATAGCAATAAGCTATCGTTGGCGTGGGTCGGTAGGAGATTGTCGCTCCTTCTGGAACACGTGCGTAGATACCGACCATGCACTGGTCCGCGCTCGGGTGTGCTTACGACTGAACGGACGTAGGAAACAGCTGGCGGTAAAACCATCACGTCCCCAGCTCGATCAGGAAACTAAATCCGTATTTGAGGAAGAACTAGCTAAACACATATCTGTGTTCGACAGCTGTGCTCACCCTGAAGAAGCTTGGAAAAATATCCAGGCAGCCATAGATACAGCTGTAAAAGCTGTGAATAAGGTAAACCCAAAGGTGAGTAAAAACCACTGGATCTCCACCGCCTCATCCGAACTGATAGATGCTAGAAGACTTATTCCGGCGAGCTCCGAATTCAATGAGGAGCGAAAGCTGCACAAGAGGAAACTTACGAAAAGTCTCCGTAAGGACCGTGAACAGTGGTGGGCGACAAAAGCCAAAGAGATGGAGAAAGCTTTGAGGATAGGCAACACCAGGCAACTCTTTGGACTCATCAGGGAAACGGGTGGGAGAAGACAAATCATTAGTGAGACAATCTCGGAAAAAAATGGCACTATAATTAGCTCACAGGATAGACGACTGGATCGTTGGAAAGAGCATTATGAGGAGCAGTTTAATTTGCCCACAGCCACGCTCAACCTTCCGAGCATCCAACACCTCCCTGAATGGGGTATAGACACAGGTCCTCCGTCACTAACTGAGGTTACTAAAGCTGTCACCAATCTGAAACTAGGCAAAGCAGCGGGACCTGATGGAATGACGCCAGAGGTATTTAAGTACGGTGGAGACAGCTTACTGTCCGGATTAACTGAGGTACTAGGCAGCGTTTGGGAATCAGAAGAAGTCCCATCGGGTTGGTGTAAGTCACTGATTATCCCCATATACAAGAAGGGAGACAAGTCTTCCTGTGATAATCACAGAGGGATTAGCTTGACTAATATAGTATCTAAAGTCTTAGGCTCAATAATCATGCGTAGACTGAGTGATGCTCGGGAAGCACAAACACGAGAGAGCCAGGCAGGCTTTAGACCAGGAAGAGGGTGTATTGATCATATCTTCACCCTCCGACAGATTCTAGAACATAGGCATTCCTACCGGCGTCCAACAGTCATTATATTTCTTGACCTAAAGGCAGCATTCGACTCTGTCGATCGGGAAGTTCTCTAGAGATGCTTGGCTGTAAAGGGAATTCCAAGAAAATATATTGCACTGATTAAGGCACCCTATTCGTACTCATACAGCCAGGTGAGGGCTTACGGCGAGCTGTCATCTGAACTGATGACGACCAGTGGTGTCCGTCAAGGATGTCCATTATCTCCTTTTCTATTCAACTTCATCATAGATGTGTTAATGGACTTAACCCTAGGTGACTTCAGCGATTCAGGGATTGACTTGCTACTGGGAATAATCTCGTTGACTTGGAATATGCAGACGATATAGTCCTTCTAGGCGAAGACGCTGACAAAATGCAGAGTCTTCTAAACACCTTGAACAGCAATCTACGAATGTTTGGCATGCGATTCGCTCCCGCCATATGCAAGATGATGTTACAGGACTGGACTACATCGACGCCTAGTTTAAAAATAGGAAGTGAAGTGGTAGAGCACGTTGACCGCTTCACTTATTTGGGAAGTACCATCAGCCCCAACGGGCTGATCTCTGACGAAATCTCAGCACGAATACAAGGGGCTCGTTTCGCATTTGTTAGTTTACGCCGACTCTGGCGTAGACGAGATGTTCGACTATCGACCAAAGGGCGGGTGTACTGCTCATCAGTCCGCTCCGTCCTCCTTTATGGTTGTGAGACCTGGCCACTGAGAGTGGAAGACATGAAAAGACTAGCTGCCTTTGATCATAGGTGCCTGCGTTCTATTTCCCGTGTAAAGTGGCATGATAAGGTGAGCAACATGGAGGTTAGGCGTAGAGTTCTAGGTAAACAGGGGAAATCAATCGACGAAGTCGTGAAGCTACAAAGACTGAGATGGTTAGGACATGTGTTACGTATGCCAAGTCATCGCCTTCCTCGACGAGCTATGTTAGCGGATATAGGGTCAGGCTGGAAAAAAGCTAGCGGCGGTCAAACAAAAACTTGGCATCAGTCAATGAAATCCACAACAGTTGGTCTTAGCCACGTAGGAAGGTGTAGACTTCCAGGCTGGGGTCCTCGGGACGGTAAAAATCTATGGTTGGAAACAATTGGTGACATGGCTCAAAATCGTTCTCAGTGGCGCAGATGCATCCACTCCCTGTGACTTATGATCTTCAATGAAATTGTTTTGTATTTCTTTATTACTCCTTTGTCTCACACCTCTGCTCACTGTTTCTATTATGCTTTTCTTGTACTTTCTTCTCTTGCTTCGCGTGCTA